TTAGGGCTCTGTCACCATTAATGAGCCAAGTTGTAGAGGTGAGGTTTTTTGTGTTTCTATACGATAAAATATTTATTAAAGCTGTGAATTTGTTTTTTTCAATCAACAGCTTCATTTTATAGGTGTGCCGCTACACGTGCACACATGATGATGGGGACGACACACCATTACAATGTCTTTCTGAGTTAGAAGCAGCTGCGCCAAAAATGGTGAACCCTCATCTTTCGAACTTTCTCGAAATGTGCATTGCGGTAAGTCACTTCTCGTCTCCTTCAATTCGTAGTTGGGGCTCTCAATTACAAGTTCATTTTATAGTGCGTTCTCAATACTGAAAAAGATGACGCCTACCGCCATTCAGCAACTGAAGTCCTCGCTACGATTTGCGAGTATTCTACGGCTGTATTGAAAAAGCGTTATTCGCAGAGCATCTTCTACATATGTAAGTAATCTAGTGGCATTGGGAATACTGGTGCATGGGGAGGAGCTTCGGGATTGCTTCCGGACTAGATCGTTGGTATTACTTGTACTATTCGTTGTTGTGAGTATTTACTTTCGGGATTGGCGCACCAATAAGGTTCTGGCAAGGAAGCGTCCAGTCCCGCCCACAATCATAGTGCGATCTTTGCCACGGAAAAAACGGGGTAATATGCACAGATGAAAAGTATGCACTTAGGGTGCTATCTGAATTTAAAGTTCTGAGGAATCAGGTTGAGATTTGAGTTAACCTTAGTTTGTTTCGAATGTTTATTGTATCGGAAGTTTTTCAGTGAAAGCTGTGCTACTCCTCATGACTCATTTAACAATGGATCTAAACGAGTGGCTCGAAGTGGATGAGCTCGATGCTGAAGATGATGAGGAGTAAGTGTATTCGTGAATTTTCTTTCTCCTTCCCACAAAGTAACCTTTGTAGGTCTGTTGCGGTTGGCGAGTCAGCGTTGGATAGAATAGCTTGTGCTCTTAATGGCAAATACATCTTGTCATCGTTTGTTGCCTTGACTGGCAAACTGCGTCATTCAGGTGAGGCGCTTCTCAGTGGAATCCTGTTCCTCCATTTCCGCTGATATTATAAAATAAATACCTTTTCTTCAAGAGGATTGGCAGGAGCGTCACGTTGCTCTAATGGGTTTCTCAGTCATTGGAGAAGGTTGTCAACGTGTTATGGAGCCACAAATACAAACCATTGTCAGGGAACTTATTCCGTTCTTGAATGATAAGGTGAGATAATGCGCTATCTTTCAGTGTAAAGATAAGTTTCATGGTTGCCCTTGGACCTTGTTAAGAGGTTATAATATTTTGTAAACGTGGGTCACACATATTTGGACTGTTTCCCTTTTTTGTTTGGAGATTTTTCCGTTTTCAATTTTATTTTCAGAATTTTTTAAATTTCCTTTTGTTCTAATCTTCTCCCATACTTTTTATTTTTATTTAATCGCTCAACGAGTGTTTTTAGCATCCTCGAGTTCGCTACGCTGCTTGTAATGCTATTGGGCAAATGTCCTCTGACTTTGCTCCAGCACTGCAAAAGAAATGTCATGAATGGGTGAGTTTATAAAAAAANAAAAAAATTTAAAAATAAAAAAAATAGAAATTTTCCTTCTTTTATGTTGGATAAATAACCTTATTCTTTTCCTCGAACTATTTCACATGCTCATAGCAAACGTCGTTATAAACTAATCCAGCTCATTTTTATTTCACTTTTTGAACTCTTATCGTATTTTTGAATCTTACTTACTTGACCATCATACAAATGGAAAGGGGTTTTTACAGTCATCTTAGACAACGTATCCAGTGAACAAATGAATTATTAAATGCTAATAATCAGCCGCACTATTCAAGCAAATCACAATCAGTTTTCTTACGTTACCGCTCTTTTCATTCGGCATCCCACACCGCTTTTTTTACCCCTGGCCAGGCCAGCTGAGCAGTGTCATAGCTTTCGAGCCCAGATTTTTTATGCTATATGACTAGGACAGTTGTTACTGTTCGGATACTAACTGCCCTACTCATAAGCAATTGAAGATTCGGGGCTCGATCCACATTATGGGGGGTTACTTCCTTTCACTCCGCCACTATGCCCACATCCCGGTCTAATTCGTATATTCTCCGAAGTACCTTAGATGTTGCCTACATGGAAGATTGCGAGCCATGTGTTGAACACATCAATGGTAAAATATTGAGGTTAAAAATAGTTAATAAAGTAGTAAACAAACATTTCTTAAACAGTAATAACTGTCTACATTCGTTACGCAACCATTCATGTCAGCATGTGGTTATTTATGGCACTATCAAATAAATTAATGAATATTCGAGGTCGTTCCTGCCTTGATGAATACCTTGCTCGACAATACATGTGATCGTGTATCAGCCCATGCTGCAGCGGCTTTAATCAACTTCTGTGAAGATTGTCCAAAGCAAGTAAGTAACTTATTTCTTTACTTCGGTATACATGTTTATTTATACAATTTGGGAGCCAGTATTAACTTCATCCGTTTCATATAGTTGAATAGTTTCCGTTAACTAATTGAAATCCCTCAGATCATATCGGCCTATCTTCCTGCCATTATGAGTGCATTGGAGCAGGCATTGGGAAGCGCTTTTTCGCATATGCAGTCTACGGGGAAAAAGCTTCGTTGTGAACAGGTCGGTTATTTGTCTAGGAACATGCTCTTATCAACGTTGAATTAAGACTTTTCCTTATGACTGTTGTATTTTTATTTTTACAAACCTTTTCTTATTTTTTTTTTATTTTTCAGCTTGTGACTGCCATAGCGTCTGTAGCCGATGCTGCACAAGATCTGTTCATTGATTTTTATGATAGAATTGTTCCGAATTTGAAATACATTTTGGTTAATTCAACATCTGATGATCATAAGGTAAGAAGATTCGAGAAGTTGGTTTAAATTTCATTCCATAAATTGTTGACTTAGGTTCTCCGTGGAAAGACATTGGAGTCTCTGTCTTTGATTGGTGTAGCCGTCGGAAAAGAAAAGTTCCGAGAAGACGCCATCGCTATCATGAATCTACTGCAAGAATCAATGCCAACATTAACTTCCGATGATCCCCAGTGTTCGTACATGATTTGTAGCTGGACACGTATATGCAAGGTAATTTTTCAATTGTGACTCGGGGACGAGGTTCGGGACTATCAGATTGACAACTAAGTAATTGGCATATTTTTCTTGAGTAATTCATATACTTACCTTGAAGGGTAACTAGCTGTTATTTCAAAGTATTTTTTTTATTTTTAAGTTATTTCAATTTATAGACGGGGTGCCTAATTTTTTTTTCAAGGTCAATATGTAGAAAATAAGCACTTCTTTTTGGTTTAAAATGAAGGATATTGGTCCCTGAAGTATAGTCAATTACTTAGTTGTCACCTAATAGATGACAGCGACTGCTTTCAGTTCTAATCATGTCGCTGAATTTCATATCGATCGGGTTTTTAGGTTCTCGGTAAAGAGTTTGCTCCGTACCTACCCATGGTTATGGGAGCAGTCTTGCAGACAGCATCATATAAGCCTGATGTTGCCGTCTTGGAAGGTATGTGCATTGTCATGTATCTTAGTGTTTTCTTATTCTTTGAATATTATTGTTTTTGTCCTCCTTTATTATTTATACGATGAAAAAATAAGGGTCAAATTTTGGTTCATCGCTTGGTATACTTAGAGCTCAAAACCCGAAATTTCAGGGAGTATGTGTTCTTGTTGGCTCTCGTAATACGCTTACCCTCTAGTATCCCTCTTTTTTTTTAAGTTAGTCGTCCAGTAATTGTTCTGTAAACTTTTGCACGTTCAAGTTGTCATTCCCCTTGGCTCACATCTAAATGAAATGTTCCAAGAAGAGTGGAACTATTATGGTGATCTAAAATAAATTGCGTATTTATTCCTCTTGCTCCCCCTTTCAATAACTTAGCTCTTTGATCCGATTGTCGTGGGCTCGTCAATATGAACTCTGGGAAAAGAGTGGAACACTTCCTGCTTTTTCATTCTTAGTTTTCATTAAAATAGTTTCATTTTCCTTGTAAAGTGGTCATTTACTGTTACAGAAGATCAATGCAACAAGGATGATCCGGCATGGTCCTATCATTCCGTCGGTGATAACAAAAGTTTCGGTATCCGTACAGCTGGTCTTGATGAGAAGGCTGATTCCTGCGCTATGTTAGTTTGCTATGCCAGAGATTTGGAAGGTTTGTTCAAAAATTTTTTTTGATCCTAACTTCTAAGTAATGTTCTTTCTGAGGTTTACAACTATTGGAGGTGAGCTTTATTTCAGAAGAATTCATACCCTATGTTGATGAAGTGGCAAAATTGTCTGTCGGAAATCTGCGGTTCCTGTTTGTGGATAGTGTTCGATGTTCAGCAGCCGAAACACTACCGTGGTTGCTGAAATGTGTCAAGGTTCAGGTAGGATAAAGCACAGCAGTTCAATTTTTGCTTTTTATATTCACTACTTTTTGATTTTGAAGTAATACGGAGAATAAGAGGATCAATTTTGGCTTGGAAAACGATTTTCACATTTCATTTTCGATTTTCAGGGTGTGGATTTCCAGCGCCGTTTGTGGGTGGAATTTTTGCCTGCCCTCTGTACTGCGTTGGAAACTGAGAACGAAGTGGAAGTAATCGAAAGTTTGGTCGACTCTCTTGCCGAATGCGTTCTTCAGCTTGGTGCTGCGGTGTGTTTTTAGTGAATCTTTTTTTTTTTCGAAAAATATTGGGAGAGTGATTGGCAGTTGCGGTTGTGTATATCTACGATCCTTACAATTTTTATTGGACTAATTTTAAAATTTTAGAGGTTTGCATATTGCAAAACTACTGTGAATATATGTTGAAGATTTCTATGATTTTATTTCATTTTTCATTTATTTAGGGCCTTACTAAGGAGGACGTGGAAAAAATTGCTACCGTGATATCTGAGCAAATAAAAGAGCACGAGAAACGTCGACTGGAGGCTGAAGCGGAAGAATCTGAGGAGGTAACTTTTTTCAAATGAAAAGAGTAGCTCTTCGATGCGATATATCTAGTTTTTTTTTGTTCAGGATGCTGATGTTGAAGATCTAAAGGAAAAGCTTAGTGACGAAGCAGAAATGGAAGGGGAAGTGCTTGCGCGTATCTCGGACCTGATCCACAACATGTTTGAGGTCAATGTATATTTTCTACATTATTTTTTCTTTAAATAATTTATTTGTTTTAGACATTTGGTGATTGTTTCTTCGATTATATGGAGCCGCTTTTGCCTGAAATTTTACAACTTATCGATGTTCGGCGATCATATCCATCGCGGCAATATGGCCTCTGCTATATTGATGATTGTATTGAATTTGCGCCAAAGGTAAAATTGTTTTCTCGTATAGCACACTTTTGATAGGGCTTCTTGGTAAAGATTTTTGCTCTATTACTTACTTTTGCTATTATTAACTAATTTTTTTTTTACTTTTCGCCGTCACCCCCTTCGACGTAGTAACTGAAAGTGTTCCTAAAAAGAGGTCAGATAAGTTTGCTGGTAGGGAAGATAATGCTAAATTGATGCGATCGTTCCTCTGTGCTTGCATAATCTCGTCTCTGTCGTATTTATTGCTACCCACGGTAGCAGTCTGTAGTTGCATGCCGACATCACATATATGGGGCTGCTCCTCCAGTCCCGTCACACATACGACGCATCGAAAAAGGTCTCGGGTAAGTGCAAGGGATAAATGGATGCGATAAATTTACGCATTTACGGACTGCTTCTGTGAGGAGTTGCCAATAACACACCCTCATCTCATGAAAAAAGGTATCTTCAGTTTCCTTGAGAATGGGTTATGGCCCTGAATTGACCGTGGGCTTATCGGACCTGGCTCATGAGAAAGTTGGGATGAGTTTGATGTCCGTACAGCATTTAGGGTATTATTTTATGAGTTTAAACAGCTCATAACTGGTAACTCTACTTTTTATATTTTAGAGATGTGCACAATATCAAGATCAGTATGTTCCTATAATGCTCAAATGCCTTGCTGATGAGTACCCTGAAGTTCGGCAAGCAGCAGCTTATGGATTTGGTATAATGGGCATGATAGGTGGTAGTGATTATTTAAATACCGTAACAAGTGCTCTTGAACCATTAGCCGCTATGGTAAATAGGTGAGCAAACTTTAACAAACTTATTTATGTATTTTTAGTACTACCTGACGTAGTTATAATTCTCAATTATTTTTTACGAGATGTAGTTCTTCATGGCTTTTATAGCCCATACTAGTTGATTGATCATTGATTTTCTTCATAGAGGTAGTTTTGACGAATTTCCTTTATCGATTATTTTGTAATTTAATTTTTAAGCCCTGATGCTAGAGCTACTGAGGAGAGTTCTGGTGCTACAGACAACGGTATCGCTGCTGTCGCTAAAATTTTGAAATATTCTGGTGCTAATGTTGATATAGCTCAAGTGAGTTACTTATTAATTAGTTCCGAACATTTGTTCTTTATTATAGCCCACACAGGTTCTTCATTACAGTCCAGCTTCATTATAGCATTATACATATGCTTAATCCTTGGTTCTTCTGCAATCCTACTTTCACAAAATCCCAACTGAATAATGCAATTGAGAGTTTGTCACCGTACTTTGCTGCTGAGGAAATGAAGCGCAAGCTTTCTTGTCAACGAAATAACAAGCCCCTTCAAAACATACCGTTTCCGTTTTGCGATTGAACTCGAAGGCAATTTTGATTAGGGTCGTTGGAAAATCTCTCAGCCTCTGATCCTTTTCAACTATCAGTCTATCAGGAATCAACTTCTCTCTGTATTTGTCGGGTTCCATAAAAGCGGAAAGATAACGTCTTCGCCGTTAATCAATCCCCTTTCCGGAATGCACCCACGTATTCGACTCACATTCAAAACAGTAGTGGCGCTCTTGATGCATTTGTGGCGTATAGAATGACTCGCGGGGGTGTGGTGAAGTAGGAACGAAACTGTCGCGTAGCGGCGAGCGGGACGCCGCGGGCGAAGGAATATAACAGGTTGCAGCAGCAGGTAAGAAATACTAACAAATGATAGCATTAGAATCGTGACTAAAATAAGGTCGCATATCGATTGAGCTGTATGAAAAAAGGCTAGAGCTGTAATAACGGTGAAGCGAAGTCCGCGACAGCCGCGAGCGGATCGATTAAACGAAACCGTTCCTACTGCCCGTCTCCGTGACTCGCGGTGGCCAGCCGATGTAGAATTCATTGCTTTTACACTTTCTCACGAGTAACAATGAACCTATCCCAGGTGGATGGAAAGCTCGGTTGGCCTGGGCGAGTATCGACCGGGATGCAAATCGGCGTCGTCCCCATTTCACAATATTCTGAATAAACTGAATCATTAATATTTAGGTCGTACCTGCGTTTTTGTCATGGTTGCCGACTCATGAAGATGTTACTGAAGCACCGCACATATATGGTTATCTTGCTGACCTTATTGAATCTGATCATCCAGTTGTTCTTGGAAAAGATAACTGCAATTTACCACGACTAGTCTTTATCAGTAAGTGATTTCTAAGATTACGTTTTACGGGTGATTGGGCACAGTTTTATGGGCCGTCTTTGTGATATTCTACACAGCGCCATTCTCCATCCTCATTTTCCAAGCGCTTAGGGAAACGTGTATTTACCTATGCGCGTGCGTCAATCGGGTCAATGGGTAGTGAAAAAGGCCATTAAATAGTTGCGATTCAGTGATAGCTGAGCTCAGAAGTTTCTTTACGAAATAGGACTGCTACTCATCAGGTGTGGTGCGTTAGGAACGAAATGGTCGTGTCGCGGTGAGAGGGCGTCGCGCGCGAAGAAATGTAGCAGGATGCAGCAGTAGGTAAGAAATACAAGAACAAAAGTACTTATAGTAGAATTNGGCGAATGAGTGGTCCGCGACAGCCGCGTGCGGCCAGTCGATTACCCAAAATCGTTCCTAACGCCCGTCTCCCCTACTCATCTCTCCTCGGTGATGAGAACATACAAGTTTCGCGGAAAGCAACTACCGAAAATTTCGCGTTTGCCCAGATTTCTCCCACGATTTTTGTGAATCTTCTATGGTTAATGTGTAGGGACGCTACCCACACGTACATGTACGCAGAACATATCCGGCTACCTCTTCGTTATTTATTCGATCATATAGTGATTGAATTGTCAGCCCATAATCAACACATACTTCTTTACGAGTTCGTTAGGCAACTCCGCCGCGGGAACCCATTGAAAGTTGTGTAAAGCGTTTGGTCTCGAAGCCCCTTCTAAACACTTTTGTGCGCATCTCCTTGCACCGATTCACATCCCGAAACAAAAAGATCGAAGATGGGCCTCGATGTGGATAACCTGTTGACATATCATGAAATTGTCACATAGGAGGGTTTGGCCGGTCTCGAGTGCCTGGGGTAGACGGTCGAGAAGTGGAGGAATTATTACTGAGATGATAAGGAGAGGCTGCCACTCGACAGTAAGACAAGAGCTGGAGTAGCCGGCTGAGGCAGATTTAGCCCTTTTTATAGCAGCAGTACAGTATCCTACAGTAACATTTTGCAGTGGAGATCTTAGGATAACCATAATACATGTTTACGAATCGCATGATCCGAAAACATAAGTAGGTACCATATGGATTATAACAGAGAGAAATAAAATTAAGTAAACAATGACAGTGATTTTGCGAGGTAATTACACCAAATGACACAAATAGATAGCTTGAGTTCACAAATGCGCGTACAAGTGAGTGGCGTCCTTCAATAGTATTTCTATGGCAGCTTCCAGTAAATCCCGGAATAAATCTGGACTAATGTGATATCTTTCGGTAGGTATTTGAGGCTCCCCCAAATATTTTCGACGGGATGTTCGTGAAACTGTTTGGGACATTTGGGACATTTTGAGTCGTACTTTCATCCCATTTCATTTTCCATCCATATCAATACGATAATTTTAGTTGTATCCGCTTTTGCATTGGAAGCTTTTCCTCCAAATGACGAAGGAACTGCAGTTGCCCAACGGTTGCAGCACATCCTCAGAGTGTTACATAACAATACGGAAGTATTTGAAGCTGTAGTTCAAGCTGCTCAGCTCGATGAAAAGAAAACTGAAACTTTGCGTGGCTTAATTTCATGATTTCTTTTTATTTTCACTCGTTGTGACTATATTGTTTTGTTTACACAATTGTAGATCGCGTTGTTGTTGTTGATGAGCGGTCATTTCATCACATCGTTCAGATCCCTTTCATAGTTGTTGCCAGTGCGAAGCCGTCATGAGTATCCTTTTTCTTCTTTTTGATTTTTTGTTGTTTTGCCTTGTAGTATTTGTTCTTAATACTATTGGTCGTACGCTGTCATTTATTATTCCTGAAATCGCGGTTATACTCAGCGCATTGGCGATTGCTGCTGGCAGTATTTAAGCCGTGGAAACACTAAGGGTGTCCGAGAATAACTGAAATACCGGTACAACTTACAACGTTCCTTACTTTTCATTACTTCTAGTACTCAAGTAGTAATCAACAGCAGACAGTCCGTCATGCTTCGAGTACAATCCCGGTCTAAAATAATATCATGCGTGGGTTAGGTGAAGAGTGAGTTTGTACTGTTTCTCTCTCACATCTGCGTAGAGTAAAATGGGCATCGGGTTTCGCTCTTTTAGCTAAGGTAGTAATGCGAAAAGTAAAGTATACTGTAGGAGTCCTCATCATCAATCCATGGGTGTGGTGCGTTAGGAACGAAATGGTCGCGACGCGGTGAGAGGGGCGTCGTGCGCGAAGGAATGTAGCATGATGCAGCAGTAGGTAAGAAATACAAGAACAAAAGTACTAATAGTAGAATTATGCATAAAATAATGATCGCATATCGATTGAGCTGTATGAAGAACGCTAGAGCTGTAATAACGGCGAATGAGTGGTCCGCGACAGCCGCGTGCGGCGAATCGATTACCCAAAAGCGTTCCTAACGCCCGTCTCTCTCAATCCATTGACCACTTTTGAGCTTTTTTTGGATAGAACATTTTCATGCAACATTTTGCTACCTTCACGCTTTACCCCCACTATAACAGACCCTTCTTCGGCAGTCCTTTCTTGCAATTATTGTTTTAAATTTTTAAACAACGGTGGAGTTTAACAGTTAGAGCAGGCAGTGCGTATTGTAGAGATTGAAATGCAGCTTTTTCTCTGGCTAGACAGAATATCATTGCTTCCTCTATTCCCTATTCTTCTGAAACCGTATTGCAACTATGAAGGACGGTTCTGATGTGAATTCTCTATGGCTCTTCGTTCTGTGAACATTTGTGTTCCGGCACTAAATTCCCGATGTTTTACGGCGTGTAGTTTTTGTGCCTGTTTCAAGAAATCTAGGACTATCCATTTACCTATTATTTCTTTACTGAGCACAATAAACACCGTTTCTTTTGAAGTTTAATGACATTTTCTAATGAAGGATTATTTCATACATCCAGTTCAAAAGACGAGTATTCGGAGTGGTGTCGTTCGGGGTGTGGTGCGTTAGGAACGTAATGGTCGCGTCGCGGTGAGAGGGGCGTCGCGCGCGAAGGAATGTAGCAGGATGCATCAGTAGGTAAGAAATACAAGAACAAAATGTTAATAGCAGAATTATGTATAAAATAATGATCGCATATCGATTGAGNTGTATGAAGAATGCTAGGGCTGTAATAACGGCAAATGAGTGGTCCGCGACAGCCGCGTGCGGCGAATCGATTACCCAAAATCGTTCCTAACGCCCGTCTCCCGTGTCGTTTGTACAGTATCACGGGACTGATGGCTCGTCCACTTTTTCTATGCTTTTCAAACTGACGTTCCACCTATTTTGTTAGGATTCTGAATAATTCTATCGTAAAAGTAGCATGACGCGACTATGGCGGATTATGCAAGAACTCCTACACAATACTGTAGTTACCGTAATCATCCACTGAAATGCGAATTCTACCCTTCACTACGGGTGAGGGAGCGCGATCGCGTGCGGCGGGAGGGCGGGGCATACTGGTCGACAAGGAGGTCAAACACACCGGTCGCGGACAACCATTCGCAATGTCGCGCGAATACCGTAATGTCGCCGCCTGCCATTCGGGGACACTGGTCTGTCACTTTTGTATTGGCTTGGGATAAGGATGCCTTCGATCATTTACATGATTACTGAGTGATTGTGCACTACTACTTACAATACTACGTAAAGATCAGGTACTCATACATTTTTTTCGCAAACAACGTTTCATGCTTATTCAGGCCTTGCCTGCATAGGGGAACTATTCCCCGAAACGTCGGCCTTCCCATTTGCCCAACAATCATGTAAAGGGTAGAAAAGTGGTGTGTACACGGTATAACAGTGAAGCGTTGATGCTACAAGGGTAGATGATGGCTAGTTCGCTTTTTTTCTCTCTGTAGGTCGGAGAACGTCCGTTGCGCGCGTTCGTCGAAAGTAGGTCACCCCGCCCACTTCGCGCGGCTCACCCCAATGAGGTCTCAAGATGATATTATAGTACCACCAAGTGTCAGTGGAGCAATCGATTTACATTTGTCCGTGTTATCTTCTCTTTGGCTCACTGCCGTGAACCAAGCGCAAATCGTATGCCCCACTGACAACTGCGACGTATGTCAAGTATCGCGGGCTGACCCACCGCATGCGGCGGCTGCGGCGTGACCTAGTTTCAACGGACGCGCGCAACGAAGCGCACCCCTGTAGGCCAGACAGAAGTCGATAGAACAATAATTTACTACAAGAGGAATATAAATAATGTACAAGAGGTGATAAAAAAGCAACAAGAAATCTAACTGCCCACAGCGGGCTAGCAGTCAAAGGAGATAGTTGTCCTCTTTTTAACACAATGAAATCAAACTCATATAACTGTTATAATATAATAAAGCTTCACAGGATTGGCAATTCATCAGG